TATATATATATATATATATATATACGTGTATTTATTAGTTTATTTTCCAAGTTACGAACAGTCTCACACACACACACACACACACGCGCGCGATAAAAAAAAATAACATTACCCAGATGATTCTGATTTTATATGTAGGTTTTTTGTTTTGTTTTTATTCGGAAATAAATACATATAGACTGCAAAAACTGATTAAGATTAATCGAATACAGAGAAAAGAGTATTTCACACAAAAAAGGGGTATTGACAGATGAAACATTTAAAATGTATCGTTGTATAGTTAATCATTGTTTCTGTAAGATATGTATAATATTTTTTAAGTGCCAGTGTGTATTTCGATACATTAGTATATATTTGGTTATCCTTCATGTTTGCTGTCAAACCGAGAACTGCATGAAAGACGTATGTTGATCAGGCGCCGAAAAGTCTACCTGACCAGTACCCGAGTTTTCGAAGATTTTAACGTGTTGAAGAGGTTCACCTGTTTCAGTAACGGTGGCTTAGCTTTTCGGCGATACCGGTAGTGTTCCCTTAACAAGAGCATAAAACAAAAACAAACAATCGTGGCAGTTATTTCGGTATAAGATGCCTCGGAAGATTACAGGGGGTGTTCAGAAGCTACTATTCGCCCCCTCTTGGTGTGGCTAAGAGGCTGAACTTCAATTTGAGATTTTCGAGTTCGTGGAGTCCTTCTCAAAACAAAACTGCCTTCGTAGGAGTTATGGTCCGTCAGGGCGGCGAGGGATCTAAAAATCCAATGCTTAGAATTATATATGGAGGAAACGGGAGTGCTCCGAGAAACCCGCTTTCACTGATCAGGCGCCGAAATGTCTACCTGACCAGTACCCGAGTTTTGAAAGATTTTAACGTGAGAAAGTTTGGTACCATGTTAGTATGGGAAGGAAGGATAGTTGTGCGCTATCTTCGTTCGTACACGGAAAATGAGGCTCGGAGTTTTCAAGACGCACGCGTTGTTACCTCAGTACAGGTACCACGTGGGAGACATGCCACCGCCTACTCGTGCCCGGACTTGTTAGAGAACGAGCCCAGACTTACCTGGATGCGAGCATATCAATGATTGCAGCATGCACTAATCTCAGTTCAGAGTGAGATAAACCTGTAGACGGTTTTAGGAAGCATCAAAGATTTTGTATGTGTTATGGATAAAAACCAGGACTTGAAAAAACGAACTTTTCTCAGGTATATTCTTTATTATCTACTCATGGACACCTAGCGGTGAGTAAAATGAAATTACGATTAGCTAGAATATCTCTTTTAAAGTCCCAGTTGGTAGTAGAAAGATTTTATTAAAGTTTATGTCTAGAAACAGTGTTAAATTTCTAGAAAAATACAAGTACCGGATCACTGACGAAGGGGAGGGGCGAACTTTGAAAAATAACAATGTAAACATTATTAAGATTAATATTGGGGATGATGATGAAGGGGAGTAATGTAGTTGAATTGTGTCAATCTAATAAAAATTCGCACTTGAACCGAAGCAACCTTAAAAATAATTAGTGTTTCCACCTTTAGATTTTGAATAATTTAAAACAGGTTAATGATCTGAGATTCGACAGAAATTAAACATTGCCTAGAAATAGCTATAAATGTAAAGGTAATATTATGCATATTTTACGATTCACCAAGTTTGACCAAAAGAAATTAAACATTGCCTAGAAATAGCTATAAATGTAAAGGTAATATTATGCATATTTTACGATTCATCAAGTTTGACCAAAAGAAATTAAACATTGCCTAGAAATAGCTATAAATGTAAAGGTAATATTATGCATATTTTACGGTTCATCAAGTTTGACCGAAAGGCAGAAAAATGCATTCTATTTACAACTGTATTTTGTTTACAGTGGTTGTAAATGTATTTATCTCAAACTCGGGTAATTCAACGAGATTTTTTAGAAAGACGTATTTCAGATGTTTAATCAAGGTTAGAACCATTTGAAAAATTGTTAATGGATTTTTTTATAATCACTACTGCATATTTTATCACAATTGTCGAACCAAATAGGAATGCAGAACAGACAGCACAGAGACTAAAACAAGGGCTACTTTAGAATATTAACAGTGACAACAGCTATTGAAGAAAAGTTACAAAACCTTTCCTGAAATCTCTCTATGTGATGCTCTATACTGAGGCTAGCGATACTTATGAATTCTTAAAATAGTGCAGAAAGACGTTTCTCGTGTTTTTAATTATGTAAAGCATGTTGCTAAGTTACGAAATGAACTTACAAGTTTGCAGTTGACTCGTACAGGTGTTCATGTGATCATTGAGATGCTTTTTATTTTTTTTACAGTGACGGTGTTTTCACCTGCCCTGAAGATAGCTTACCATTGGATTACGCAAAGGTATGATTTGCAGTTTGTTTGATAAGATAACGTAATAGACTAAAGGAAGCCCTGAAACTAGAGGTGTTTATTAACTGGCAAATTAATTCTCAAATTAACATCACGTGTTCAACTTACTTGTACGTTACAAAACTGACCGAAATTATTATTCAGGAAAATTGAATTTTTCACTACCATTTGTTCATCTTTAGTGTTACAGTGTTCTTTTTGATGTAATTCCTTTACTTATAATATAAATGCCTTTTCTCGTTTTTCATTCTAACTGTTAACAGTACTTGCGTGTTTATTTTTCAACGTATAATCTGTCGTGTTCTATCTATAAATGATAAGTGTACATAATCTTAAATGTTGTAGTATATTTAAAAACATTGTTTAGTGGTGTTACGCTTCTGTGTTCGTTTGTTAATTTCCCGGTATAAATTTTTCCCGAGGAACTTCAGAGATACAAGTCCTTTCTTAAATAAAACTAGTTTATTCTTTCTCAATTCAACTTTGCAATACACTTAATTTCTACGGTCACTTTAAACACACGCTATAATTCACAATGATTCACGCACTTACTTACGGTCACTACCGCGCCTGACTCAATTGTCCGTCTTTATTTCTTGCGTGTCTGCA